GCACTAAAAAAAGAGGGTCTCTACATTTTCAGTAACTTTGTCACAGGTCTGTCATTTCTGAGTATTTGGTAGCCTACTATTTATAGGGAAATAGGGCAAGTGCTCTCTCAGTGAATCAATCTCCTGTGTGACCTAAAGAGTCTTTGTGCACAGCTACATAAAAACATGTGATTGGTCTACAGAAGAATTAAGTTTCCATACACAAAACATTAATGAATGAATATGTAGTTGGCTTAAGATGGAGCAAAGAAGTAAATTCCTATTTTCCTATTTAATTTTTTCATTTAACTGTTCGGTTGTATTTTTATAGATATTTTATTTCCAATCATCGAGGGCAAAGCGCTGTTTCCAAGTTTTCTCCACGCTGTCAGCTGAGGCTGGATTCACCAAGATTACCAGACTGGGGCTCCTGCCCAGAGGCCCCAAACTCTAAGAGGCCCCAGAGTGTCCATATTCACCATGTGGCAATTAGATTATGATAATTTAATTAATTGCAAATTTGTAAGTTAATATTCTGTTGACCGCTGAAGCACGTTATAAACTGAAATGAAGAGGACCTGAAGGCACCACCTTCATTATTCAGGTCTTGTAGTTGAAGGATCTAAAGTTAAAATGATGACCTCTATTATTTCGGTTTATATTGTGCTCACATGCTGCAGTTTAATAAATAAAACTGTGCTTTATCAAGTTAACTTAAGGTCATAAATACTAACCTATGAACAGAGAATGCGAGACACATAGGGACTTTTACTGTTTCGGCCCCGGCCCCCCTGCTTGGTTAATCCGGCCCTGCTACCACAACTATAATTCTACATACTGGGTCTTTTATTTGAAGTGTATTCATTTTATTTGAAGTGTATTCATGTATACTGAATCTACAAAACTCTGGAATATAGAACACATGACCACCATGTCCTCAGTGGTAGCAATGGCTATGTTAATCTACATTTATACCTCCATTATTTGATAGTCCTCCATTATTTCAGCTTTATTTATTTGTTTAACAAATGCGTTTCCACATGTTTCAAATACATTTAACATATGTAGCTGCTACCAACCAGAGTAAAGTCAAGTCACTGTTGCTGCATGATTTGCTGTCAAAGCAGCACAAACACTGGTCAGACTGGTTTGACTGTGTTGTTCTTGTGGTGTGTTGGATAAACAAACCTCGGAGTGTGAATGGAGAGCCTGTATACCACACAGGGTATCTACCAGGATGTCTGCACTGTCTCTGTGGATCACATTCTGGGAAAGGGTTCTCAGAGACTGATCCACAGATCAGAGATCCGCCTTATGCAAATGTCACTGCGAGTTTCATTTCTAACAACTAAAACAGCTTCTAACAGATACAGAGTTGGCATGACTGACAGCTTAATGCACTTTAATCAAACTCATGTTGCAGTAAATAAAATCCACCGCTCTGGTAGGCAGGGCAGTAAGTCAAAGCCGCAGAGCAGAGACAAATAGTGGCAGCTTGACTGGTCAAACAAGGTTCTCACAGAGAAGTTTCCATTACGTGCATTTCCTCTTTGTGACAGTCACAATAGCTGTCATTATTGTATTGGTGCATGAACCGTGGATTGTTAAATATTTAGCGAGCGAGCTTGAATGCAGTGTATCCACCCTGCAGAGCTAAGCTAAATATGAAGGGTAAATATATTTCCTGGGGTAAATCTCCGCACTCAGTGGGAGTGAAGTCAAGAGGAAGCTTTGAACGACCTGATAAAAGATGCAACACACTGATGCAGCCCCGAATCACTTTGGTTTCATTAGCTGAACAAAAAGATCAGTGGGGGCCCCAATTAATTATAGCAGGCTTATCGCTGTGTAAACACGAGCTCAGTGGTGGCTGATTAGGAAATATATGTGCATAAATCTGTCACACAGGTTACAGACAATGGGGTTGATGTGTCACAGTAATGACATGGAAGGTGCAAAACGAGTCAGCCCTGCACAGGAATGAAGATGGACTGTGGGGCTTTCAGCCTCTGCTAATTAGCAGCTCAACCCGTTGTTGCAGTTGGATACCAGTCTTGCCACTAAGTCTTGCGCTATGAAAGAAATGTAAGGTGTGTTGTGAGTGAAAAACAATGCTCCAGAAGACACAGCAGCACTTTTCTGGACGGACTCGCCGTCACTCCTGTCAGACCGTCACACATCATCCGCCTGTCCGTGTCGCCCGGCCCGGCCATGGAGCAAGGAAGGGCCACCGTCTGCTTCCTGTCGCTGGCTGTGATTATGGACGTTGTCGGCCTCATCCTCTTCTTCGTCGGGATCTTCGCACCTTTGAGCTTCTGGGACTTTTTCGTGCTGTCCGGGCCTCTGCTGATCTTCCTCAGTCTGATCTTCTGGATATTTTGGTACTTGGGGAACCTCACTGTGTCCGAGGAAGATCTCAACCTGAACAAACGGGACATACTCTGACTACAGCATGAGCGGAGCTGGACTGAGTCGAAGCTACTGGCCCGGCTGCTGGACTCCTTCACATCAGCAACATGACGTGGTGATGAGGGGTAAACTGGGGGGGGGGTCAGGTTGAGGCAGAAGCTTCACCCCTTAAGGTTTTTCCTCAGTGAAGGATATGTGATAACTCCAAATCCAGCCAGGACCAGGAACACATTTTACTAATCCCAGGAGATAAAAAAAAACTCTCTTCCACCCTTAGGCTTCTGGGAAAAGAACTTGACATGTTGTTTATGGACAGCAGTGATTCCTGGACTTTATTGGAGTGGAAAATGTATTTCTCAGCACTTTTTTTGGAGGAAGCTTTTAAACAGTGCACCACCATGATAATACTGTCCGCTTTATTTATCTCATTATCACCTATGTACAGTGTGAGTTGATATTTATATTTCAACATGTCCTTGCACATTCATGTAAGCTGAAAAAGCTTTTGAAATCATCAACTAAACATGCTTTAAAGTGACCTGTTGTTGTGTTCTTTGTGAGGCTGCTGCTCTGTAAAAGAACTTCCCAAACAGGCACTGTAGGTTTTAGCTCGGGGTTATTTTAGTAAGATCCTCCCAGTGCAGAGCCCGACAGAAAGAATAAACATGACGGTGCGCACAGAGATGGGAAACATGTTCCTTCACGAAGCACTGAAGCTCCAGCGCCCGATTACACGTGCCACAGAGTTTTGCCAATTAGCAGTTTTCCCTTTTAAAACAAACCAAACGCAGTGCGACCCGCGCTTCCGCTTGTCCACCAGGGCGAGGGGGGATGAAACCAATACTCCTCCTTCAAGCCCAATTCTTCCCAGCCTTAATCAGCACTCAAGGCACCATTAGCTCCCTCAGACATGGAGAGTGTTATTAATGTGTCCATTTGGTTCCTGCCCCTGAGAGAGGAAATGGAGGAGAGGCGTAATGGGGCTCTCTCGCTCTGCAAAGAGATGGAAACCCTGCTGCTCGGCCCCTCCTCCCCCCCACGGGACGCCGCCTTCTCTGTTGTGCTGAAATCCCCAAGTTGTCTTGATGGTATATGTCATTATAATCTTAATCACAGCCATACCCATCAATGCATAATGGAGTTTCCCCTGAGAGGAGCGGTCGAGCGTATACATCCTGGTTAGTTGTAGCTCAAATCAAATAACACAGCATGACGCAGCATATATGCTCAAGGTAACGGCGAGCAGATACTGGGTTGTGAGTCTCAATCATGTGGTTGGAGAGAGCTTTGACTAATAGTTGTTTCCCATTAGCTGTGCCACAGCGGTTACTACTCTTCCTGCACTGTAGTGAAAATGGGACCACAAGTACACAGAAAGTAAAAGAAACACACATATATCTTTCAAATGTCTTTAAAGGTTTTTAAAGTCCCCCTCCACTTAAAATGATGTTTGTCTTCTTGTTCCTACAGCGTGATGTTTGATTCTCACTGTGCAGAAGGATGTTTGTGCAGAGTCTGACACTGGAAGGATGTTTTCACATTCATGTGCTATAAGTGGGAAGTTTCTCTGAGCTCCCTTAAAGGGCGGGGTCTACAAGCATGATTTGTGACATCACAAATAGTCATGAAGTCATCCTGGTCCAGTATGTAACTTATACAGTGTGATCCACCAGAGCACACACACTGAGATGTCTTGTGTCCAGCAGATAAACTTTAAATGTATATATTCATAGTGTCTGGAATTTGTAATGAGGTAAAAAGAGTAGATGACTTTTTCAGGATGTTAATGTGAACATTGTACCAATCTTTGTGGGGGGAAAAAACATATTAGACACACATTATTGTTCCAAGAAGATGATCTGTGTAATCTGTATTTATATTTGAACATATCTGGAGGAGATCTTTAATATTTCAGATGAGTGGTTTCATTAAATAATCTTGATTATTAATTATTACCTGAGATTTGTGATCAATAGAATGTATATGAATGTATTCTCAGATGAATATCAGGTCCATTAGGCAGTTCATGATATTATCTACAAATGCTGTTATTAATAATCAGATAAATGCGGCTTTTGGCAGGCGATGAGGGGATGATGGCGCGTTCATTACTCTGCTCTGTGTGTGAACACTACTTCAGCCTAAAAGCTTAAAATGGCTGGTGGTGAGTTCATGATGTCATCTGTGGAGGGCTGTGATGGTGCATGTCTCCCTCCAGTGGTTGAAGTTTAGAGGTTAATGTGACTGATTGATTAGGGCCCTTCAGACTGACTTTAAGATGGGAAAATGAAATAAAACCATATATGGACAGTATTTGCTTCTGTTAGACTTTGACTGCAGTTATTAGTGAGTCTGACTCTTTAGGAACTCGATCTGCCCACAGTAAGATTCATATTAATGTTTATTCAGAAGTACACAATGGTGCAGGAAGTATTTAGATCCTTTTCTTACAAATGGAAACACACAGTCACATTTGTGAAGCTGAAACTTTGAAACCTATTAAAATAGTTGCTTTTACTTTTTCTGGCATTCGACTAATTGATTAATCAACTAATGGTTTCAGTGTACAGACTGTCGGGTGGTTTCATTTATAATAATAATACACTTTGACATAATTCATAAGGGCTTTATTGGCATGGGAAACAGACGTTTACATTGCCAAAGCAAGTGCAAAATATATTTATATACAGATTTGTATTAAAATAACTTAAAATAATGTAGAGAAGAATGAAAAGTAGACTTATATTTATGTATACAGTTACAAAGGGCCTTACATGGCTGGAACCCGGATTAAAAACATTCCAGGAGGCAATAAGGTAGAATAAAGTCAGAGAAGTAAAATCACACAGAAGTAAGGTAAAAACAATAAACCAACAATAAAACAGATAAAAACTAACGACACTGGGGCAAATAGTTTTAAACAATTAAAAGATACTAAATTAAAAGCAGAAAATACCCATCGCTAATATAAAACCAACAATAACAATATACAGACTGCAATCGGCCATCTCTCCTGAACCTGTACCCCTCCAGGACCCTGAGGACCCCTCCCACCCCGGACCCCCACTGACACTGGCTCTTAAACCCATCCTGTGTATATACATTACATGAATGCACTTCTGTTGGTGGTGTTATCTTGCACATTGCACAGATATATGTCACACTGATAACTCGCAGAATTCCTGGTCGATTTCTTTTGCACATTTCTGCACAGCTCTTTACTCTTTTATTTAAAGTATCTGTTCGTTGTGTACATATTCTCTCACTCTTTGCATTCGTATAAAGTGGCTCCTTTTTATTGTCTCTATTTTATATTTTAATTTATATTTTTCTACGCTTGATTGTGATTCTCATGCACCCGTGTACGAAGGTAACTTCCTCGTATGTGGCAATAAACCTGATTCTGATTCTGATTAAGAAGTGATTTAAAAGTTGTCAGTGATTCAGCAAACCTTAGACCGAGGTGAACATCATATTTTATTATTTCTTCAAAGGAAGTTCATTGAATTTGAATTTCTCCTACGGGGGATCAAAAAAGAAACATCTTATTTTATCTTATATGGTTTGTAAAAATGTTCACCTGAAGTAACGACAGCTGTCAGATAATGACATTAAAGTTTCACTCTGAAATGTAGAGTAGAAGTAATAAAGGCATTAAAATAAAGTACAAGCACCTCACATTTGTACTTAGTTACATTCCACCATTTTAATAACACTGACAGTTTAGGACAAAGATGATATTATCTGAGAGGATTATTCAGACACATTTCCACCATACACGAGTCTTCCTGTTTTACTATAAGGATGAGAAACTGGTGCTCACATGACAGAAGAGACGTTAGTTTTAATGGTATGGACAAAAAAATCTGAATTTTAGCTCAATGCAATGTTCAGCTTTAGGGTTGTAAAAGGAATCCATTGATATGTTGATTATTCTGCCTATTTTCTACTTTTTACTCTTAAAATGTGATACAATTATTTTAAAAAAGAGCCTGTTTCAAGTCCCTATAGAGCCACACTGATGTGTTCAAATGTCTCATCTTATGTGACAAAAATAACACACATATTTAATGTTACAGCTATTACAAACAGATAATTTATCAAATATAAGAAGCTAGAAATAAAGACGTAAACATTGTTGCCTTCATTAACAGCTGTTTGCTGCAGCTCTGTAAAGAGTTCACAACCTCAGAGCCTCAGTGACTAATATAAGTCGTATAAAGAGCCAAAGTTCATCCCATTAAATCTTTTGTATGTTTTATTATTTCCACAAAGAGGAACGGACATATTCAGTATTGTGGGTAGTCTCACTGGTTTTCTCCTTCTGTTTTCGACCTCTGTTGACATTTTTATGTCTTCACAAATTCAAAACAGTGTTTCTGGGCATTGCTAGTAATAATATTACAGTTACTTTTCCCAGTAACTAGTAGTGTAACTAAAACATTTCCCCCCTGTATCTGGATTCATTTTTGTAATTGTGGAGGAAACTCTATCCTATTAGATTGATTTTAACAAACAAAACTGGATTTTTAAAGTTTGAATTTTGGGGAGAAAGAGACACAACTACCAATTTTTGGTGAAGCGTAGCAGAAAAGTAACTTAACTAGTAGTGTAACTAATTACTGTTGGCACACTATTACTCCAATAAATGACACTTTTGTGTAATAAGATCATTACTCTGATGTTGATTCTACCTGCGTGCTGCATTCAATGACAAACACTTAACGCCTGATCATTAGTTCTTACACCCTGTCCGATAGGGCCCACACACACACACACACACACACACACACACACACTGCCGCACAGACTGTCCCTCAGTGTTTACAAACAAGTGGCCTACAGATGGCAGGGTCACCCCCCCCCCCTCATGATAACAAGGCCTGCAGACAGCCCAGCACGGAGCGCAGGACCACAACCCTGCAGCTCCGAGCAGGGCAACGTGAACTCTGTCTGTCTGTCTGTCTGTCTGTCTGCGTCAGGCTGCGTGCGCTGATCATTTCCCAGATATCTCCCCTCCTCATTAAAGAGTAGCGGGGATGCTGCAAAGGGGGCAACGTGCCAAAACCAGGCATGGATTCCGTAGTGGAGGGGGACGGGCACCGTGCACCGTGCGCCCGCTGCGACGTGGAGCCCGACGTGGAGCCCGGATCCCTGCAGAATGATCACAAACACGTGGTTGTTTCTCGGTTTTAAATATTAGACTCAGCCGGTGGTGTCGATGCGCGCGCATTAGATGATCGATCACCTTTTCGCTGCGGTGATTATTGAGAGTGACTGCACGTGTACACCCGGACGCTCCCTTCCTTTTTTCCTGTGTGCTTAAAAAAAAAAAAAAAAAAAACTTAAAAAGGAGAAAACGTACACTCCGCTTTTTACGTCTCACCCAGCAGCACGCCAACCGACCTTGAATGCGTCCTAGGATTACTTCTCGTCTGTGATTGGTCGCGACCGCAGCGCCGCATCCGCGTCGTGGACTGTGGTTGGCGGAGCGCGCTGTCAGTCCGGTGATATCCGCCTCCGGCTCCGTGTGGTTGGATCCGTCCGCTCCCCTTTTCTCTCGGCGGTGGGTCGGAGCCGCTGTCCCTGGCCTCGCATGTTCCCCTCTAAAAAAAAATTTCTGTTTTGAATTTGAAGCCCCTCTCTCGTAGATCCTGCTCCAGTCTCACGCCGCTTCCCAGGCCACAGTCGGGCGTCTGAACACCGGGGTTTCTTTTTTTAATTTCTCCCAATATTTTCGGCGTTTAGAAGACTTTAACCCCCCCCCTTTACACACACACACACACACACCACCACCTCCACTGAACATGGCCGTGGTGAGCGGATCGTCTGGGCCGGTTGCCCGGCTCGAGGGCCGTGAATTCGAATACATGATGAAGAAGCGCTCGGTGACCATCGGCCGGAACTCGTCTCAGGGCTCCGTGGACGTGAGCATGGGCCACTCGAGCTTCATCTCCCGGCGGCATCTGGAGATATTCACAGCCAGCGACGACGGCACCGGCAGCGGGGACTTCTACCTGAGGTGTCTCGGTAAAAACGGGGTGTTTGTAGACGGAGTGTTCCTCAGACGGGGCGCCCCTCCTCTGCAGCTACCGCGAATGTAAGTCCCCCCCCTCTACTACCACCACCCTGTCTCTCTCTCTGTCTGTCTGTCTCTCTCCGGGAACATGTGGATGCCGCTGCTAGCCGGCCAGCTAAAGTTAACAAACATTGGGGGTTTCTCTCGGCCAGCAGGGTCGAGATGGGACCACGTGTTTTAGCATGTTAGCAGGAACCTCCGCGTCCCCTTCCCAATGCCATTTTCTTTGTTGACATTTTAAGGAAGCAGCGGTGTTAATAAGCCGCCTGCCCTCGCTCCACACTCCCTCCGAGGGAGGGGGGGTAACTCAGCGGGAGCCGCAAACCGCTGGCTCCGTTGTGGGGCTACTCGGCTAACTACCTGAGCTAGCTCCTGGCTATGGGTAGAGGAGATTCGTGTGTGTGTGTGTGTTGTTGTTGTTGTTGTTGTTGTTGATACCGACTAGTGGTAGTTTTTCTCTCACGTGGATGCTCGTTGAAGTCTGAGTGGTGCGTCTCGTGATACTGTAAACATTGGCCCTTGTTGTCATGCAAACACGGAGGCTAGCGGTTAGCTGGCTAGGTAGCCTCGCTGTAGTTGTGAATGGAGCGCTCCTCTCGACCCCTGAACGTAAACAAACCAGCCCGTCCCCGCCCTGCCGGCTCACACCAGCACAGAGCCTGCGGGGACCTTTGGCCTCTGTTCAAGTCAGCCGAAGTCATGCTAGCTTGTGTATTTCACCAGTATTGTGCCAACATTGCCCATTAAAAGAAGGATTTTAGCTTTATAGTTAATTTTAAGATTAAATGAGCACTTTTTAATCAGGAGTTTGGTTTAGCGCCTGTGAGCCATGTTGTGCAGGTTGCAGCATGCACTGTTGCTTTGTTTCTCTTTTAGGATTGGAGATAATGTGCTGCTGTCTAAACAAACATTTATCTCTCAGAGGAATCTATAACCCTGATCTGTGCTTTTACTAATGGGTTGTAAAACCTGGTATTTGTGCTCAAGTAAACAACATGTGCTGCTCGGTTTGGGTGTGAGCTATGCTTTTACTGCCTAATACAGATACAAATAAATAATAAGTTGGCTTCTAGCAGGATGTGGTTGTGCTGAGAGGATAATCTCATCAACAGAAAAGTAATCACCAACCATTTTGATAACCGATTAACCAGATTTATTTGGGTTTTGGTATGGGGGGGAGAAACAACCCCAAACGATTTGAAACAGAGCTGAAACAATTCTATTAATCACTTAACCGAGAAGTTAATCTGCAACGATTGGGCTAATCATGTCATCGTTCACGTCATTTATCAAACATAAAAGTAAAACATTTTCAGGTTCCAGCTCCTCAAATGTGAAGATTTGTCTACTTTTCTACTCATTTTATGTCATTGTACATTGAATACCTTCGAGGTTTGGACAAAATAACCAATTTGAAGATGTCAGTGTGGCCGGTGGGAACATAACGAGACCTCGGGTCCAAAATAAAACAATCCAGGCTGTTTACATTTGAACCAGACAGATTTATTTGGGGATTTTAGCATGCCAAAAAGTTTATTCACTAAAGTGACTTGTAATGTAGACAAACCTTACCAACCTCTGCCAACACTAGCCAGGCTTCCCACACTGCTCTCAGCTATTGTGCAATCCCTCAATGTGAAACCACTTTTTTTTTTTTTTATACCGCACAAAGAAAGAGCTTGTTTAGACTTGAAGCAATTTCTGCACCACTAAACTGTTGTTGTTTTTTTCTTTTCTCACAAAAATATTTTCAGCAGCTGAACATGTTTTGTGTTATTAAGGTTGTTGGTTGAAATAATTTCTGCCCTCCTCTCTTGTCACATTGTGCATAAAGCAGTGTGTTTCATTATGTAGGCACCACGAGGAACAAGGAAGCAGCAGCAGTGGTTTCAGGTTATCTTATTGATCCGGCAATAAAGAGCTTTTAATCAGCAGCGGTCTTTTTACTACCGTGCACGTCCATAAGTAAGACACCACCTAGCTATGGGCTCACGTGCTTTACCGTAATCCGCGAGCTGGAGGACGACCGTTACTGTCTGCAGCCAAAGATTGACAGCATGAGAGGACTCGCAGAGCTGTGGCCCAGGGGACGGCGAGGTTGTATTCCAGAGATTCCTCTTTGGTGATGTAAACAGAGCCAACAGAAAGGAACAGCCTTCCCTTCCCCCCTCCCCTCTCCCCCCCCCACACACCTCCCTGTCCTCTCCCACACCCGCAAATTCTCTCCAAGTTGGTGCTCTTCCTGTCTCGCTGTCTTCTTTTGTTTACATTCTTTTTTTTTTTTTTTTTTTTTGTTTTAGGCCGGCCGGGTGGGTGGGGGTGAAAATCAAGTGAAAGTTTTCAGCTGAACAAGCTTTGTTTGTTGCCGTCCTCGCAGCTTAGCAGCGTAGCAACTGTGCGTTTTGTGTTTTTGGAGCTCGGGCCTCATTGTTCATACAGGAGCAAAATAGGGCTGATTAAAAACGGGCTGCGATGAATGCACGCTCTGAGTTGGGGGGGGCACTCGACAACGTGGACACAGTTTTCCATACAGAGCCCCACTCAGACAATTAACGATGGTTGATGGTGAGTTGAAAGTGAGGTGGTGCAGAAATGTTTTTGTTAATTAAGCAGTGAGTTGACGGTAGGGCTGTGGTATGCCTTACTGTTTGGATAAGATATTTGCTCTAAATCTTGAAGCTTTTCTGACTACTCTATATCTTACTATTCCCTAGATGTGTAGATATCCGGGCAATAACCAGTGCTGCAACTATCTTTTTAGCACCGACATCTAAAATGTTCAAATGATACTCGGGGCCCCTTACCGTTGTTTTGGTCGTTCATATCCAAAAACTCTGCTCCAAGAGTCTCAGATATGAAGTTTTATATCATTTCATATTGAATTTATTGGTTCTGAGCTCGTAACATGTGATTAATAAGTTAAACAACCAGTAGATTATTGGATAACGAAAATGATGGTCAGTTGCACTTGTAATGGTAGCGGGGGATGTTAAGACGTTTGACCCTGTTCCCAAAAATATACAAACATTTAGGCCTTGCACACGCCGACTGAAATCTAATCTATTTAATCTCCGGTCAGTTTTTCCATCCATCTGGTTTATTTATTATTTGGTCCGTAGCTGCTGTCCTGTTCTGCATACACACTCATTTAGGTTCTTATGTTTATGTTTGTGTTACAGACATAAGACATAGTGCTGCAACTAATGATTGTGTTTTTATATTTATTATTCTATTAATCATTTTCTTGTTTAATCGATTAGTTGTTTGGGTTGTTGTTGTTGTTTCCCAATGTTCTGAAAAGTCTTGTTTAGCTCACAACCTGGAGATATCCAGTTTACTGTCACACAGCAATAAAGGAACCATCAAATATTCCCATTTGAGCAGCTGAAATAAGAGAAAATGACCTGAATCTTTTAATCTATTATCAGAATTCATTATTTAATAGTTGATTAAATTCAACCAACTAATGGTTGCAGATCTTCATTAAACAACATTTAACACTCATATGTTACAGAAAAGAGAAAATATTTGAGAAAGCTCTTGTTTTCCTGCAGTGTTTTATAGCTGAGACCGACTACTTCCTGTGGGGAGAAAGGCCACCTCCGCTAATACAGACTTTTATAAAATAAAACATCAACCTTTAGGGAAAAAGCAGACACCATTTTATACAACAATGGCCATATAATTAATGAGAGGAGATTGAGGCCATCATTTCCTGACTGAATGGCACTGAGCTCTGATCTGGGTGGCCGGCCACCTCCGCTAAATGACATCCTTGGGGAAACCCTTGAATATATATATATATATATATATATATATATATATATATATATATATATATATATATATATATAGTGAGTGTTGAAGGGGAGGGGGGTGCTGTCGTTAAAAGTCCCCTAATATGCAGACATGTAGTCCCACATGCACAGTCTAAACCAACCAGTGTAATATACTGTATACAGTCCTTCCTCATCAGAGCTGCTCTCATGTGACAGCCTGGCGAAGTACAGGGAACAGGATTGTTTTAGATATTTTATTATTTATCGATATATTTAGATACCGTTGTCCCCACTCTGTCAGTTATACACAGGCGCCAGATATTGAGAAAGGCTCTGATGTTATTTAAGGATCTACCACAACTTTGTCAGCTCCACAGAGAAGTCTCTACCCTTCCTGAAAGGGAGCTTGGAGGGCACATGCATAATGAAAGCGTCTACCCCTCACCAGTCTGGCTCCAGGAAGTGTTTCAGGCTCGTCCTGTGAGTGGCAAAGCTAATTTGAGATGTAGGTGTCGGGGAAACGGTTCTCTCAGCAGATGCCAGCTCTGCGAGGGCCTGGCGAGAAACTGCACTGCCTTGCACTCTTTAACTAAATGAAAACCAATGTGTGCCTGCTCCGTCTCCAGGGTGTCAGGCAGTCTGATCCTGATGGTGATTTAGAAGAGTTCCTTCTATTCAGTGGCATTTCCCTCGACAGTTTCCTTTCATCCTTTGTACATGAACGTCTCCAGTAGACCAAAGATGAGCCTGTTTTTATCAAATTCAAACTGTAATTACAAGGAATCCACCTTAAAACATGCTCAGTTTCTGTTGGCAGTATCTTTGCATTCCTGAGTCCATTTTGTTGGTTGTTGTAGTTTTTTTTTTTAAACTCCACTGCATATAAAATGGAGAAACGATGATGGGCCCATTTCAGCCATTTAAAAACATCAGTGGTTAAACATCATGTTTTTATGTCTGTTTATTGTGTAACAGTGCAGAGCTGTTGTATTTGACTGTACAGGAGTCCATGTATGTCACAATCATCTGTATAATTCACATAGACTGTATCATTTTCTTCATCAGTTTCTTTTAGGGCTGCACAGTTAATCGCAATGTGGCCAAGTGCCATATGTACCGTGTTTACTGTTTAGATGCTCAGACCTACAGATCTTGTTCTCCAAGAAAATACTTGTCACATCATCCCAATTTTAATAGTTTAAGTGAGAATTGAAATTGTGATTGCAAATCTGATCCTTCCCACTAATTCTGAATCAAATCACAATGGCAGGATCTGTCCAAATAACTGCAATATGCTTTTAATAAGTAATTCAAGTTAATTAAAACGCCGCCCTCGTACCCTAACCTTACACTGCACTGTAGAACTGACGTGGTTTGACTCTTTTGTGGTGCCTCCGCTGCCTCACTGAGGCCCCCTTTTCCAACAAATTAGTTCTGGTTCTTGAACCGGTTTCATTCGAGATTGTTGGAACCTTGGTGCTGTCTAGCTTCACCAACAGAAGGCGCTGTACAATGCGACCTGTAGAATATGACATTGCTATTTGTTGGTTCCAGCTGCACACCAATTTATTTCTGGTAGAAATGCTTCGAACGGTTCCAAACGAGGTGCTTGAACCGGAACAGACCCGGTTCCCTGTTGGTGGAAAAGGCCTATGAGTGAGAAGCTAATGAGTGACTAACTGATACAATATCAATATGTGAGAGTTTTGATTATCTACCTAGATAAATACTGAGTGGGACATTTACAGTCTTCTCTTGCCTGTATTATATCATCTTTATCCACGATTTTTCCACCAACAGTGTCGAATCCAAAATGCCTGCACACTTCACTTCTCACACGGTTTGCTGTCATTATTACGAGCTCAGCACGGCTCGCTAGTTTTCTCAATTTGGTGCTAATGAGGAGCACAATAACCTAGTTTACTGAGGACAACAGCACATGCAGTAGATCCGTCCTAGAGGCAGAGGGTCCAAACATTCAACGCAGCAACAAGGCACGTTGCATTTAAAGGAAAATGGGACAAGACCTTACCCTATTTTCAGCAGTGTGTTGAAAGTCACTGTGGAAAATGTAGGAGTGCTTCAGAAGATGGTTGGGTCTAACCGAGGGAATCAGGTGGCTGATATGTCTTTTAGGGTCCTTGACACCAAGAACTGCTGTTCCCACATTTTACCATTAGTAAACAATTGCAGCTTTTTGTGATTTGGATATTACACAGAAGAAGAGATTGTGATATACAGCTGCGTGATCCCCGTATCGTGATACGTATCATTTCACCAGGTTATTGCCGATACAGCCGTATTGATGAATAACTGCTCTCAAATTATGGTCAGCTCATTTTCTTTTAGCTTACATTGAACGATAAACCAGTCAACTTATCTTCTAAGCACCAGTAACCACAGAAAATGATCCATCTGAGGCATGTTTCCTAATTGTTGACATGTTGCTGAGGCTACTGCGCTGTAGGCATGTCTTTATATTTACCACTCTGGGCTAGGCCCGCCCTCCTTTGAGGCCACCCCCCCCCCGTCACACCAGAGCAGCTCCAGTCCTCTGTATGATTGTGTGAGTTCTCTGGTGTTTGCTGTAATTTCTGATTGTCAGCCGGCGTTGGGAGGAGAGAGGGAGCTTCATCAAGCTCTCGCATCAGTATTCAAATTTAATTAACTCGCACGTTGTCTCTCTCGGCTAATTAAAGTCGGTGTCGCCGCACACAAGGTTTGTGTGGCGTTACCAAGTGCTTGCTGATTTGATTTGCCTTTTTGAAATGTTTTTTTTAAATGTTGTGTCTGTTCTTTTGCAGGTGCACTTTCAGGTTCCCCAGCACAAACATCAAGATCACATTCACAGCCCTGTCCAGTGGGAAGAAAGTGAAGCGCGAAGCTCCAGAGTCCCCAGTGAAACCAGTACAGCCCCATATCTCCCCACTGACCATCAACATTCCAGACAACATCGCTCACCTAATGAGCCCCCTGCCATCGCCTACTGGCACCATTAGGTACGCAATACTGCCAACTCTTGTGTTTTCACCGGCTTGAAGCAGGCAGGAAGTGACTGTTCTCCGTATGACTCAAAATCCGCTCGCTACGTTGATTCTTTCACTCGACAAATGAGTAGGAACGCACCTCACAAACCATTGCTCAGCATTTGTATAGCAGTTGTATTTGTGCGACTGCAAAGATGGGTTTAGGTCTTATGATTTCTATTTCTTGATGTCAAAACATTAAATGCTTTTTAATAATGGAAACGAGTCCGGGACAAAGTTCCTGTTCTGTTTTTATAAATATAACAAAATGCTGTCAATAAACCAAATATTAAAAGTCGTGCTGTAGTAACAAGACTTTAGTAAAGGCCCAGTTTTCTCCGTCTGAGGTCCTAGATCAGGGCATGGTGGTAAGAAGTAACTCCCACACTGCCCCTAGTTGACCTTGAGGTGTCAGCTGACCTTGACGTGGCCCCTGTATGGTGATCAGCTTAGGCTTAGTTCAGCGACTGCAGGGCTCAGAGAGGGAGGCGGCTCCATCTCAGACTCTTAGATCCTCTCAACCCCTGATCTCAGCCAGATGGCTGAAAACCAACCAGGTTTCTGCTGTCATACAGGGCCTATTTGAAGGTTATATGATAAATCGTGTTTACTGTCTGCAAATAAACAGTCGGCGTAATGAAAGCGGCAGCAGGTGTAGCACATGTGGGACATCCTGAGCTGCTGCCTCTTTGTTTGCTTTACCAACATAAGTCCCCCGAGTACTGAAATGCACATTAAATATGGAAATTGTCCTTTACATTAAGTCTCTTCATCCCCTGGTTATTCAGTCTATTAACTGGTTAATTAGACTTGATTAAGGTTTGAATGCGTTGTGGCTTTAGGCCTGGAAAAAAAAAGTGACTGCAGTATAATCTGGGAGGTAGGGCCATTTGCATAGATGTCGGCCAAAAGCGTGCCACTGCAGCACAGACTGCGGATGAGCCCGAGCCAGGAAGCATAACTGCGGCCCTTTCCGGACTTACGGGCCAGTTACATTTGAGGTCTAAGCACTTAATCCAAATCTGTTGATGCTTGTTTATATCTTGATTTAGTGTACATTATCTTTGCAGTAAGATTCCCGGCCGCTGACTGTGTCGTTGTATTGTTCTCCTGCAGTGCTGCTAACTCGTGCCCCTCCAGCCCGCGGGGCGCAGGCTCGTCGGGCTACAGGATGGGTGGTCGCATGGTCAGCTCCGCAGAGCTGCAGCTTATAAACGACAACTCCCAGCCCGACAACGACAAAGACGCCTCTGGAGGGGACAGTCCCAAGGTGAGCGCCGGATTAAAGTCCAGTGAGAGTCTTTCAAATCTGACCGTTTAGTTTGTGATTCTGCTCAACTTTTCATCACTTACACACCCACAATGCACCATGTGCTTTTAATCCCAGTATTACGGTTGACACACACAATGTTAGACGCCAAGTATCAGTTTATTTTCTGCCTACTCAAGCATCCAAAGTACATTGAAAGAACCCCCCCCCCCCCATATTCTACATGTAATTATCACCAAGAAGAAGATATTTATTGTAAATATAACAAGGGTTTCAACAAAGAATTGTTTATTATTGTGCTGAATATTTTTTCGATTAGATATTCTATAAAATGTCAGAAAATAAATTTAGCCCTACTACAGTGTCAGGTGAGGAAAAACATGGAACAGACCTGTAACACAGAACTTTATCCCATAATGAGAGCCCACGAATGAGGATGGAGCTGTAAGTCAGTGAGTTGCTGCCAAATAAAAGCCTGGTTAAGAGAAAGGAGACGTAATGCTACCTTACTGACAAACTGTAGCTGGCGAGCTCCCTTGCTGACACAGCAGACAGACGTGATCATTTCGGCTGACGTTACGGTTACATTAGAGTATTGTTGAAGTGGTTGTTGTTTTTTAACTTTATAGCTATGTGTTTTTACAAAGTAGTCCTAAGCTTACCGCTTTAACTCCACACCTCGTCTGACCAACGGCAGGTCAGTGGGTTTGCACAGAATCAAACAGGATTAAGCCGGAAAAAAAGCAAATGAGCACATCTGAGAAGCTGGAGCGTCAAATTAACTTAACATTTGCCGACAGAGTTTCTGTTGATTAGCTAACTAATCATTTCAGCTGTAAACATAACACGATATGATCATCTGACAGCTCACAGTTCTGTTCAGAATCCAACTCCCACTCTCTAATATCTACGACATTTGGGTTCAGAGGCTTTTACATTTAATGGAACATATGTTTCTGTTGGATGACTCTAACAGAACAGTAGCTACAGGATGTGGCGTTAACAACATTAAAAACCTCATTTATGCACTGAGTTGAGAGATGAATCTCAGGGATAATGTGATACGAGCAAACCGCATACAGCGTGCTCGTGTTTACCAACTCAGCCGGTCTGTGCCGTATCATACTGAGAGGATACCAGATGGGTCAGACTGGCAAAAGATGAGCCGATCAGAGGGAATGCGTGTCTGTGTCGCAGCCAGTTGATTAGTCATTGCAGTAATCGTCATTTTTCGAGCACAATTGTTTACATTTTGCTGCGTGCAACTTCTCCAGTGTGAGAACTTGCTGATATCTTCTGACTTGTGCTCAGAGAACGCAGACATTGGAAGAGAATTGGATCAATAATGAAAATAATGGCTCGCTGCAGAGAGATTTAGGCCATACTGTGTGTAAATATCTTCAGTCAGGCAGTTTGACGTGCTGAATTTGACAGTTGGAAGACGACACGAGGACAGTTTGTTTTCTGGGTGTAGTAAGGCCCCCCCCCCAGGGTGTTTGTAGAGCGACGTATTAATCTGCATTTCTCCTCCGCTCCACAGGATGACTCCAAACCTCCGTACTCCTATGCACAGCTGATAGTCCAGGCCATCACACTGGCCACGGACAAGCAGCTCACACTAAACGGAATCTACAATCACATCACAAAGAACTACCCGTACTACAGGACTGCAGACAAGGGCTGGCAGGTGAGTCCCGGCCCCGTGTTGACCTGTCAGAGGACGCTTCGACTGTGAGCACGGCGGTACAAATACGGCAGACCTGCACCAGTTTTTCGGGTTTGCTTAGTCTTAAAAAGTTTTGTTTCCTCTGTTGCAGAACTCGATCCGTCACAACCTGTCGCTGAACCGTTACTTCATCAAAGTGGCGCGGTCGCAGGAGGAGCCGGGTAAAGGTTCGTTCTGGAGGATAGACCCGTCCTCGGAGGGCAAGCTCATCGAGCAGGCCTTCAGGAAACGAAGGCCCCGGGGCGTCCCCTGCTTCAGGACCCCGCACGGACCCCTCTCCTCCAGGTGTGCTCACACACTCCTGCTTTCAGACACAGAATCGCTCACATTAACACAGTTCACTGCAGCCCCCCCAGAGTGTTTATCTCCCAGTATTAAAGGAACACAGCCTGTCAATAGCATTACAGACATGACATGAATAATTGGATGTATCTCTCAATGGTTTGAGGGTCTTATTTACATTTGACATCAATATAATCAGAATCAGCTTTATTGGCCAGGAATGTCCTGATCAGGTCTCTCAGATGGGTATCGTGCCTGATGAAGGCATCTTTTTAACTGATCGTTATCGACTATATCGAACCCGATCCAGTCTTTTTGTTTTACGTCCCGCATCAGTGCCTCAGACGGGGCTAAAAAGATTACGGAGAGGGTGAACAGGTGGATGCAAGCAGTGCTTCTTTCTTAATGCAATGCAGAACTAATCAATTGTCAAGAGTACAGATCGGATTGATTTTAATAACTCTAATGTAAGTGAAGTGTGCGCTGTGCACATGTATTATCCAGCCCCTTTTCCTGTCGCTCTTTAGATGGTCTTACACAATAAAGGCCAAAAGCCCCCCTCCCCCAAGAAAAATAAAAAACACATTAGCGTTGTATGTGTCATTGTGTTCGTCATCACTGATGTTCATACTGACCACAGCCACCAGCATCAGACCAACCTGAGAATGAACCTGACCTGTCCGTCTGTCCGTCTGTCCCTCAGGAGTGCGCCGGCGTCTCCCAATCACTCGGGGGTTCTCTCCGCTCACTCCAGCGGCGTCCAGACCCCCGACAGCCTATCACGAGAGGGCTCCCCGGTTCCCCTGGAGCTGGAGACCTCCTCAGCTCCTGCCCCGACCTCCACCACGGTGGTCCAACCCAAACTGGCAGTCATCCAGGAAGCACGCTTTGCACAAAACACACCAGGTACCCCCCCCTCTCTCGGTGGTTTAAAGCAGAGTTAAGAGTTCTCAGTGAAGCTGCTTTAGCGTCTGTGCATTTTGATCCTGACGTCAGTCCCAGTTCTCTGCCACAACATGTTCTTCATGTTTTCTCTTCTCATTGTCAAGTTGATTCTAGTCTAATCCCTCACACTAACTCATTTCTCACAGGTTGAGCATCTTCAGAAGTATTGACGGTATTAATTAAAATGAAACTCATCAGTAGATTTCACTGCAGCAGTAAAAAGGTTTTCTTTCCACTCAGACTGTTATTTATTGTCTTCAGTTAAAATAATTACATTGTTAAACCCGACTGGTTCTTGGCCAATGTTTGAGAAGCAGTGAACAGCTTCATTTGAGATAAACATAATAATAATAATAATAATAATAATAATAATAATAATAAAGCCGCAAGCAGCAGTAATCAGGGTCCAAGCTAGCTCAGAGTGTTTGGATGCTTGTTTCTTATTTAATTGATGAGAAACACTCCAGATACACGTTCATGAATTGGCCACCTGACACCAGTTTAAAAATATATATTTTCAAAACTGATCGAATTTTCTTCCATAACTTCAGCTCAGCAAAATCCATAGATGATCCTGACTCAGCTTCAGAAGCATTTGGGCCCAAAGCTTTCTGGCGAGTTGTCCCAAACTGTATTTACAGAAAACTTTTAAAAAAGAGAATCAGATCAGAAGACCAGTGGTTGAAAGAAGCAGATTAACTGAGAGATTAAAAAGAGTTTTCATTCATAAACACACGGGAGGTCAGTGAGTGTGCTGTATAGTGTCTGAGCAGTGGGGGCAATCTGCAGCCTGTGTTGGTGACTTTGGGTCTCACAGGTTTTTCTCATGAACACTTTCAGCAGAGAGAAAATAAATAAAGCCTGAATGAGAACAAAAGCAGCAGAGCTCCAGCAGCGAGCTTCAGGCCCCCGATAATAACCGGCCCGACTCCTGGGTGTAAACACTGCGCCCTCTCCTTCCAGGCTCGCCTGTTAACAACCAGCCGGTACTCATAGCAGTCCAGCAGCGTCAGTTACCTCAAACCATCAAGCCAGTGACTTACACCATGGCCTCCCCAGTGAGCACCAGCACCTCCCAGCCCGCTGTCCAGACGGTCCACGTCCTGCAGCAGATCCCAGCAGGGTCCCTCACCCCCGCCACAGCCGTCATCGCCCAGCCCGCCACCATCATCAACAAGAGCGAGCTGCAGGAGAACGGGGAGCACACGGAGGTCAAAGGTGAGTTTGTTTTCAGTTATCAGTTCTCGGGTCAGTGTGTCTGAGCGTCAACAGACTCAATTATCACTGATTGTCCCACTCATGAGCCGTTTACTGACTGTTTGTGTCCTCGCAGTCAAAGTGGAGGCGGTCCCCACCATCACCTCTATAGGCGGCTCCAGTCGCATCATCCAGAGCACCCAGTCGGCCACTCCCCTGCAGACTGTTACCATAGTGCAGCAGCCCCCCATGGGTCAGCACCAGCTGCCCATCAAGGCCATCACACAGAACGGCACCCACAGCATCACCACTGCCATCCAGGGACCCACCAGCTCAGGTGAGAGACATCAGCTGTGTTTGTTCGCATGTAGAGCCGACTCGACCCGAGCCCGGAATAATCTTAATTCCTCCTTTGGAATAACTGAAAACAAAATTATCACAATACAACTACACAAGTTTGATAAATGGGTTAATCTGATAATTATTTTCTCAATCAGTCAATCAACATGTCTAACATCCAATCATCTGAATTATATGTCCTAAAAAGATATTTATAGGTCTTGACTGAAATGGATTGAATTATAAAGTTAACGTTTTAAGTGTTTTTCAGTCTCTCTTTTTAAATCTGTTTTTGTGTTGATCATGCAACTACAAAATGAAGCCAACATGGAACTAATACCAATATTCCAGCATCACTGCTTTTCTGCCTGTATGGATGTAAAATGGCTCTGAAACTGCCTCCATAATGCTCCTAAAGTCTTAAATGTAACCAGTTGAAAGCTACACAAACCATGATAAAACATTTGGTCTTTAAAATGTCAGCAGAAGATGATGATGATGTCTTCAGATTCAATTTACAATCACATAAGATGAAGGAAAGCAGCAGATTGTAACATTTGAGAAGCAGCAACCAGAAACATGTTGGTTTACATTTGTCACTTTAATATTAGTCAGATAAACAGACCGCTGTCCTCATGTTGTCAGTAGTAAATGTTATTAACACAAAAGCTTTAAGTTAACCACAAGATGTGTTTGAGTGTTTCTCTGGGAGTAGCCCCCCCCCCCCCTCCTGGAGGGGAGCCGACCGCAGGCGTCTTGCCTGCAGATGTTTGTTAACCACAGTGTGAACTGATCTGACATTGAAGTGTTTCCTCTGCTAACCCACCCCTTCTCTCCCTGTTTCCCCCCCCCGTTCAGCTCCAGTAGTGGCGAGCCCCCTCCACCTGCTGGCGGCCCACGCCTCCGCCTCGGCCTCCCTCCCCACCAAACGACAGAACGGGGACCAGCTGGGCAGCGAACAGCCGGACGCCAAGCGCAAGAAATCGGAGGACGAGGCGGCCCCGACCGCCGCCGCGGCAGACTCGGACTCGTCGGCAGCTAACGACCCGGTCAACTAGTCTGTACAACCACACACCACACGACCCCCACCCACCCCCAAACACCTCCTCCCTCCTCCACGGTTTTTCTCTCTCGTCCCTGTCATTCGTTTTCGTTTCTCCTCCTTCTACCACTGACTCCCGAGGTGCCAAACGGAGAGGATTCTTTTCATTTTCAGTTTGGGTAATCTGTTCTAGAGCATCAAAAGGAAAAAAATCATGTCCACCCCTTTAAAGACTGGAATGTGGGTTGAGAACAAAATAAAGAAATGGGACAAAGATGAACTCAAAGGTGTCCCCTGTGAGCCACTGAAACAGGAGAGTGACTAAACTAAGACCACAGGAAGCCTTAACAACAATTAACCCTTAAGAGCTGACCTTTGACCTCAAGCGGTCCAGCAGGGGGAGAGGGCCCTGACTCGGCTCGGGCTGGACGCCACCTTTCTGCCACATCTACCTCAGAGCAGATAGGAGACTCCAGCAGCCGGCAGACAACCTCACCCCCCCCCCGGGACCCCGTCGGGACGAAGCGACCAACCGAAGCGACGAGCACGACGAGCATTCAATGGTTGAAAAAACGAAAAAAAAAAAAAAAAAAAAAACGGTCAACGCATTCAGAAAGGGATCAACTCGGAGCCAATATTCCTGAAACTCTGGCAGCTAGCCTCTCACAATACTGACCTTCCTTTATCGCAGCTGTACGTAGACATGCAGTATTTTGTTGTTCAAATGTGGAGCATAGGATTTTTTTTTTATTTTTTATGTACTTTCACTTATCTAGATAAGTAATAATTTAATTAAAGGAAGAGTTCAAAATGACGAGGTCGATGACATTTCGGTAACTAAGTTAGAAAACTCACTTTTTTTTTTTTATGTGGACTTCCTTTTCTGTTCGGTGAAACAGTGTAATAGTTTTGGTAACATTTTGTTCCCCCCCCCTCGTTCTGACATATCCATATGAAATTTGCTTAGTTATACCTACATATTTTAATACTTGCACAGATAACCGATATAAGCATATGAAAATCTCCATGTGTAGTTCCAGATGTTGACCTTGCATGTACCCGACAACAGAGACGTTGTTAACTGTAAATTGAACAGAGGAAAAAAAAGACCTGCTTTGTCCGAACCAGACCTGCACTTGATTAAATGTTTGTGTTTTTTCATTTCCCTCCTCTTCCTCCTCCTTTTACTTCTTTTTTTTTTTTGTTTCTCCTCCCACACTTCTCCTCCTCTTCCTCGTCCCTCTCGGCTGTGTTGACGTTGTGGTGTTGGCAGACCCCCCACCCCACCCCCCCCCCCACATTTGCTTGATTATTTTACTCTGTTCTGGCGACCTGGCGAGTCTGTTTTCTGATTGTACACGTTCCAAACAATAGTAAAAGAAAAAAAAAATTGATGTTTGTTCTGCTTCAGTGGAGAAATGCTTTTTTTTAAATAAATTAATTTAAAGCCCTTTTCTGGATCTTCATGGTTTGCTTCAACGTCAGAGTCATGGATAAGTTTGTAATGCTGAATAAAGCCACAGGCAGCCGTCTTTACACTGTAGCTCCACTCTTCCCCACCGGGGGGCAGTGTAGGGACGTTTTACAGGCTGGTTAGAGAGACAGCAGATTAACTTTGTCCTTTAACACAAGATGGCTGCGTCCTACTGACACATGAGTGGTCGGGTACACAAACTCAAGCAAAGCAGGAACATTCTTAATGCTCTCAATCAGTATGAACTATTTTAAGTAGTAGTAGTAGTATTTTTCAGTTGACCTCAGGTAGCAGGAGAAAGATAATCCTTACAGTGATTATGAACATTTCAAACATTTCATCCATTTCTTGCCTCTGAGTTTAAGTTGTTCTGTATGCAGAAACACAATGTACTGAATGAGAGAAAAAAAATAAAAGATGAGGCAAAAAGCAAAGAAATTTGACCTGAAAGTGGCACAAAACAGCAAAGAGTCACAGTTAAAGAGTCTTTATACAGTACTGATGCTTCTATATGACCTACATAATCAAACAGGACCCTCAAGAGAGCCCCCATATCGGTAACCAGTAACATATTGGTCTCAAAACACTCATATCAGTCGGGTTCTAATTGTTGTTCGACTTTTTAAGCTCTCATCTGTCGGTATCTAAATCGGCCTCAGAGATCGAGTGGCGGTCGGGCTCTAATGACGATGTCTACGGAATAAAACAAGTGTTTCACAGAACACAGCGGCCCATCTCACACACTCATTCACTGAGGTTAAAAGGTTATTAAACATGGAACTCCGTGAGCCTTGCAGGGGTCCTGACCTCGGCCTCCATCCGGCTGCATGTGACTGCGGTGCGGAAGTAAGGCTCTGCTCACCGATGGCTTCAGTGCCGCGTTGATGTTGTTCCGATGTGTTTTTGGATAAACAGACGCCCTAACCACAGAGAAACAATTATGCAGTTTGCGCCCCGCTGAGTTCCAGCATTCCTCCTTTGTGTTGGAGGAGCTAAATAAAGCCGCCGTGTCGAAGGTGTTTCCTCACTTCAGCTGCAACAGAGACAGCTTGAAGGTTCAGTCAGAGCTGTGAGAAAATGTGCCGAACACAGCAACAAACCTACGGAGTAATGATGGAACTCAGCAGCAGGTTTTTAATGAGGGGTTAATTATTTCATATTCTGTTCCTATCAATATGAGCGTATGAAACCACAAACCTGCTTTACCCCCCCGAGTGTTCATCCCTGAAAAGCTCAAACTTGTTTTACAATCAGTATACAAACTCTACAGATATGCACAAATGTTAGCAAATGGAACAATTTCACAACAGTCTTCTCTGGTCTCCGAGCAGGATGCTAATTTCCTGCAGGTTTGTTTATTGATATTTAATGACCCCCCCGGGAAAAACGGAGCTGTTTCAGCAGAAGCGAGAAAGTCTTACCTGCAGCTTCACCGCGCATATACAATAAAGAGCTCTGTCTACCGGCAATAACACAATGTATAAATAAACATAAAGCATCGTTTGCTGACATATTAAGAGCTCATTAACGAGTGTGCACCGCTGGCTGTTTGCATTCACAGGCCCTCAGATGGAGGAACTGTGGGTAGATGTGTGCTGTGCGTCATTTATTAGCATTTGCATTTTTAGAAAGTGGTCTATCATCTACCGTGTGCCTCCTCAGAGCAGAAATAAGAAGCACTGGAGCGGCCTTCATGATGGCGGACCAGTGAGGAACAATAAATGGAGAATGGAGTCCTGCAGGGATGATGTATTTTTGTAGGCAAACCCAGAAGTGAGCATCGTCCTGTTCCTTCAGCCAATGGGATTATTCCATTGGATTTTGGATTATTGCATTCTTTGGTACAGACCAAAAAGCACCCGTAGCACTGAAAGTAGTGAAAGTTAATCTCGTTTATTTGTTCTTTAATCATATAAATAAAATAAAATAAAAGTAGTTTTTTTTAAAAAGGTACTTAATCAGGAATGTTTCTTTAACTTACAAAACTAAGTTATTGTCACTTAAAATGAATAATAAAAGCTGCTTAATCAAGAAGTTTTTGACTTAAAACAATTGAGTTTGTGTTACTTAAAATCTTCGATGTAATCTAATACAAACAATATTTTTGAGTTCAATTAACTTGTGCAGGCACCTTCCCAGCATTTAAAAACCAAACCCAGATTTAAACATCCCTCTGGGCATCTGTCATTATTCTTGGCATCATAACGACATAATAATGCAATCAGTCAATTAATGACTAATGAAAACAGCTGTTAGTCGCAGCTTAGAGTGCAATTTACCGAAGAGGAAATATTCATTATGTAAAAAGAAAAGAACATAATGGTTTGTAGGTTTTCCTCCTCCAGCAGAAGGTCCCCATCGCCTCTCAAACCTTCTGAATGAGCCGTATTATGTAATGAGTGTACCAGTGCTGAGTTTGGTGGGCTGATGACGAGGCTCTGACCTCCAGGCAGGAGAGCTCCTCTGTATGTAAACTCACACAGTCCAACATGGAGTCTGTCTGTAAATATTCGGCACACGCTCACATTGTGCTGACAGACACCAAGAGGAGAGCCGTGAGGTGGGGGTAGATTGGCATTATCAAGACGTTTGTGTTGCCTCCACTGCTGGCTGTGTGGGTGGAGTCTCCATAGAAACCAGGAGCTTATTGCGACTGCCTGTTTTGAGTGTTGATACCCTGGAAGCCGGTCTGCTGTCTGCTGGGAAAAAAACTAGCAAAAATCTGCTCTGCATGATTTGTTCTCACTCAAATTGTTCTCAGAATGATCTCTTCTTTTAAAGGGAGGACAGTGTTCTCTCGAGCAAAGAGCTAACCTCTAACAGACTCTCAAAACCAGAACCTGACGTCTTTTATTAGCTCATCTCTCAGGTCATGAGGTTGCTTGCTGTTTGTATTCCCAGAGGGAAACTATTCCAGGACTCTAATCCTCTGATAATATCTCAGCATGTTGAACTGCGGCTGCTTGAAGCTGCTGTTTCCACAAAGACTTTCTGAGAATCTCCGGTGACAACAGTGGGGACCAGTGGGTGACGTGGGAGGCCATAAAAAATGGTCCTTTTAAGACATGACAACAAGAAAAGAAGACACATTAATGATGTGCAGCATGCAGAGCGCAGAAGCACAATCCTGGTTACACAAATCCTTCCTTTCCACGTGGACTTCCTCTTGTGATCCTGCTATTTTAAGACTAAATCCAGTTATTTGGTAATTATTGCAATCCTTCTTTTGACATAACAACAAAAACAAGCCTCTCAGTCTTTCAGCCTCAGAGTTTCTATCCAGTGAGAGCGCCGGCTGCTGCAACTGGAGCATGAACCGCATGCTGCAACTTCACTGTTGTGTCTTTACTGATGCTCTGTCAGCTGTTGTCTCTTTGGGGTTTTATGTTTTAAAGTGATCGCGAATGGTGGCCGTATTGTCGCTCACAATTTGAAGATGAATTTGCGCCTCCTACATGCTCATGTATTAGTTAACGCTGTCGGTTACATGGGCAGATTTGGTGAGAACGGCCCCCTGTTGGACAATAAAGTTGCATTCACAGGCTCACTAAGCTTTTCTATTTCAAATTCTCCATTTTGCAAAACCCAACATGTTCTGTTCACTGTACCCTGTTATTTGTTCTCCTATATGATATTAGTGATCTTAAGGCAGTTTTCTACCCATCAGGACAGCAGTGCAACTACTATTAACTACCATTTTGCAAGAAGCACCTTCCTGCCGTTGTTGAAAAGCAGCCATTTTCCTGTTGCATGAAATCATTCTCGAGAAGTTTAGAAGACAAACTGCCTTTTTGCATTAGTTTTGTTGCCGCAGGTGTCCTCAAACAGTTTGTCTTTGGTGAAAAACAGTGATTGTTGTGTTGCGTTAAATAATTCTATGGTGGTGTGTCTGAACCATAGGTTAACGTGGAGTTCTCATCTAGGGGGATGACTCACGATTGTGTTCTGTTGCATGAAATGCTTCTTGTGAATGATTCTCGTGGTGTAAACGCATCACACAAGCTTTTAGGAACTTTTTATGGAATAAATTCAGAATAAAGTCTTATGGACAGTCTGATTAACTCTGGGAAAGAACCAAAAAAATCCTGCACACTGTCGGTCACTTTTGGTCCTCAGACCCTCATCGGTGCTCTGACTGGGGTTTTTTCTTACATAAAAGCAGCAATATTACCTTTTAATCGCATGTAAAATGCTGCAGATTACTACTTTAACAATCTGTTGTGGGACTGCAGTACTCCTTCTGACCACATGATGGCAGTGCAGAGCAAAGCATACAAACTTGTCCACACTCTTGGCCCACACACGCATACACACTCACACATACACATTACAACAAAGTCACAAGTGCTGCACCGGATACCAGAGTGTTCACAACACTGCACAGCAGAAGTGCCACCGATGTTGAATCTAATGGGTTTTTTTTTTTTTTTTCACTCTCTCAGCCTCTCAACTGCCCTGACATCCGACTGCAGCCGAGTGGCAGCCATTTCCATAAGCAGCAGAGAGGGGAATGAGGACAGAGGGATGAGAGCGTGAAGGAGATAAGAGTGGGAGAGGGAAAAAGCAGTGAAAGAGACACAGGGAGAGATATGTGGGCGGCTTTAAGCAGAGAGGAAAGATGCTCTGCTCTGGGAGGCTGTGCGGACATTTGTTGCGAGGCGCAGATATGAGCCGTGCTGCCTGTGACCCTCAGTGGAGACTGTTACCCCGAGCAACATCTGCTCCAGACCAGATCCCAGAGCTACCAAACTCTCAGCACCTTCACAAACCTCAGCACTTTAAAACCCTCTCTCTCTCTCTCTCTCTCTCGCAGCAGCGGCGGCGGCAGCTGGATGCTGAGAGCACTCAGGAGCATTTCACTGAGAGGCCTCAACATGCACACAGACTGCACTGCTGATGCTCACACGCCGCCGGGATGCTAAAAACACTTGACACGCCGGGTATGAGGTGCTTCTGCTTTGTTTCAGCTCCATGAAG